CCAAACTTTTAATTCACATGTATCATCAAGAGTGTATACATATATATCTTGTTGAAATGGATGTACAGCTAAACTGTTAATAACTGGGTTCTCGKCATGTGAAGAAAAAGCTTTTGTTATACTTGAAAGCATTCGAGGTACTGCAGATTCTTGAGAAATTTCTTTTAAGGTGGGTAGTCCAGAAATATACTCCATACGTATATAGAGCATGATGTTGTTTTTTAGAGTTATAATAAATATAGCATCATGTTTTTGATCTATACAAGAAGCACCTAAATATGGATGACTAAGTACTGAATTATAGGAAAAAAATGTTGCTGGATCATCAATAGATGATACATTAAAATTTGAAAAAATTGATAGATTTAATTGCACATTATGATTTTCATTTTCATTATTGGTTTCCATATGACTTGGTCGAGGAAATGTCAATCGATGACAACTACATTCTGTTGGCACTAATAAAACAACAGATTCCAATGTCTCATATACAGAGATTCCACTTTCCAATATAGGCGAATCTCTAAAATGTATACGCAACTGGTTTTCAGTAAGATTTGTGTCTAAACTATTTTCAACTAACTCAAGCTTATCATACAAAACACGCCAAAATATAAAATGGTTAGGTAAATCTTTAAAACAGTATCCACCTGATTGAGGTAGTGTACTTTTATTGCACAAAGTAGTTGAAGCACCTTCAGGGTTAATCAAAATTTCCTTCCATTGATTTGATTGAAAATCTTCAGTAATTACTTGTCTGTAGACAGAATCCATGTATGGGTTATTGATAACCATATTCTCTAAAAAAATTATATATAATGAAATATAAATTAAAAATTAATAAATAGCAATAACACATTGATCCTAGGTTGTTATAATTGTATTTAGATGAAAAATAAAGTCAAAACAAGCCAAAAAGGTCACAATTCTAGTTTTATAAACATTTATTTTAATACAACAAAATAACTTTAACAGTAATTGGAAACCTATATATTATGGTAGCTATCTTTTTTTATATTGACTATATGGTATAAACCTATGTTGAATACTCATATTTTTATATTTTTTATAACTGACTAGTATGAATTTACTTTGAATAAAACAATATAAATCTTAATTAATAATTATATACAGTAGCTAATAAACAGACGGACACAATGGGGATATAAAGTTATGTCAATAATAAGGACAATATTAGGGAATAGATGTTACCGCCAAAAGACTTAATTTAGTAATTAACATTAATGACTAATCAATAACAATAATATTTGCGATCAAATTGGAGAGTATAAGATATTGACAAGGAAATTACGTTAATGTCAAAATTCCGGCATTTTCAAACATAATTTATAAAAATGTTAAATCAAATATTTGTTTGTTGAATTAGACAACGCCTTGCTTTGTAAAATTTAATTTTAATTTCTGGTCGGAGAGATGAATGTATTGGTTTCACRATGATTTTTTTTTCCTCATCACACTTTAGAGCAGTAAATATGATTTGATTTTTTTTCTAGTAGTAAGGTTCATCAGATTGCTTAAGGAAATCAAATATAGAGATTCCAGTTCTTTTCTTAATAATTGGAAAATTAAGAGAAAATAGAAATGTTTACACAAAACCAGTTTTTGGCTAAAATATTTTTCTTATTTTGTTTTAAGAATTACTTTCAACAGTTGTAAAAGCCTGAAATTTTCATTTTTCAATAAATGTTTTAATTAGAATTTATATTATATGGATGTTTTGTTTTTCAATAAATTTTGATACAATGCAATACTAACCATAACTGATCAAAAAATTAAAAATATAATTCAAAGGTAACTTTCTCAAAAGTAATACAAATATCACAGAATAGCTATTTAAAAATATTAAAATCACATAAGAACAATTTTTTACATTCTTGATTTTTAATAGAGTATTGAGATGAAAAATGTCTTTATTTTGAAAACTTTAAAATTTTGTGTTCAATATGAAAATAGTACAAATTTAACTCAGTATTGAGTTAGTGAATAATTAAGCAAGCTTTTTATAGAAAAAATTCAATTCAAAGTTCTACAAATAGTTAAAAATCTAGAAAATATTTAAATAAGATTGTAATTTGTAGTGTATGTATAAGTATAATGTATAACTTTAAAATAACTAAAACATTAAAAAATATAGCTAAGTTTTTAAAAAGTAGGTAATTCATGTTGAAACCAAGAAACTTTAAATTCAAATTTGGATGAAATTATATATTTAAATAAAAAAAATAACGATTTGAGTAACTTTGTTGTTAATTCAAAAATATTATTTGTTTGAGACTTAAAACTTATATGTATATAATTATATTTTACATAGGCAATATTTTTAAAAATATTTAAATAAATGTTAAGCTATTGCCGTTAAGGCTATAAGCTATAAACTTATTCGCAACATACTACGATGTGGCAGTATTGACTCACAAGTTAATAACAATAATAGATGACTAAATGATTTAATATATTAATATATTCTATTGTAATAATTTAATAAATGTAAAGTTTTTGGAAAAATTAAATCAATATTCCCATACAATAATAATAAAATAATTAACTTTTATAGTTATATCAAAAACTTATCATGATACACTGATATACATACTGACACCTTGCCGGCGGAAGGGGGATGCAAACTGGGTACCCGCCTAAGGCCTCACACTTTAATTTTTATATTCTGAGTGGATAGATATAGTGATAAGCAACAATAAAAAAAAGGGTAACATCAACAACAAAGATCATATTATATAAAAACTTTTTTCTGGGCCCTTTGGAATATTTTGCCTAGGGCCTCGCAAAACCTAGTGCCGTCTCTGTACTGACAGATGATCTATACTCAGAATTAAGTTTTGTATACAATGAATTACCATAAATTAAAAATGTAACACATATATTACAGTGACTATTATTGAATGATAAGGCACACTCCTCATCTACTATTATACAGCAGTGGTTTCATATTTTCTTACTTTATTTTTATTTTTACCTAATTACCCTTAACTCAAAAAAATAATTAAAGGGGGGGGGGCTGGAGCATGGTATACAGTTCATATTTGACATAAACTCACCCAGATCACTAAATTAAGTTTTTGACATTTTACAGTTTTTTTTTTTAATTRGAAAAACTGCTAAAAGAGAAAGATTTATATTGTTACTTCTTAAGACCCAATTTAAATGCTGGTACTTCTGAGTTATCTCACCTAACAAAACATTTCCAAGACTACCTATTATGATCATCTGGGTTATCTCGACTACCACAATTTATTAAATAGTAAAAATAATGTAAAAATATTTGTATTATATTGTAAATATTGTTTTTGACTAAAAACAAACAATTTTAAAAACATGCAGTCGATACTTTTTTTGCAAATAGTACCTGAATCTGGAYCATTTTTAAAAATTAAAATATACATATACCCATAAAAATAGCATACCAAAAATGTATTCCAATAAAAATCATTTTATTCATGGTGCACAAGGGGTCTTAACATATCATAGCTGCTCCAAAAAAATGATACTACATAAACAAGAAATACTATAAGATAGATGACAAATACAAGTATTTTTGGATAAATCAATGTTATCCCCGACACCAAAATTTCCCCATTTAACAGTAATATAGAGACCAGTAAGTGGAAATAAGATTCAAAATATAAAATACATAAAAAAGATGATCTGATGAAGAGTTTACTGTTTATCTCCATTCAATCAAAAATAAAACAAATACAATGAATACATAAATTAAATTATTACCTTATAGATAATAAGTACCTAAGAATGAAATAAGTTATCTTTAATTTTCTCTAATTGTATTTCTTTCAACGCCATATAGTTGCATAATTAAAACAAATATAATAAATAGTGCTATGTAAAGTTTCATTAAAATAATATGTTTAGAATTGGTCATTTTTTACCTTGTTTAGTTTTTAGTAAAATTAATAACAAATATGGTTTAAATTGTTTTGYAGATATATTTTAAAGAAAGTTCTCAATGTGTCTTATAGAATTATATATTATTATAATGCTGATGTACCTAATTCTAAATTTGAACAAGTAGTTTCTTAGTTATTGAAATGTTTAAATTAAGGAGAAAATAGTAGTCCATAAAAATCATTTTAAAAAAAGTTATAAAATAGATGTAATATTGGATTTAGTATTTATCACAGTTGTATAATTTTTACAAATCATAAATATAGTTGGATTAATATGAATTATTAAATGTACAAATCTAGCTACATTTAAAATCATAATTAAAAGTGCAATAAACACCCTTACTCGATTACCTATAATATATAACAGATTCCTCGACCATATTATGCAAGCATACTTATTAGTCAGTTATTACTTACATATTGTTATTACCGGCCGTTAGCCTATAGGTACCTAAGAAATATTAAATATTTAAATCAATACCTTTATACAAGGTTATATTTTTTCTATCACATGATTTATAATCTAACAACTGAAAATGAATGGTGCGTTAATTCAACTACCTACCCCACCAACCTATTATTTTAAATCACATTCGTACACATCCTAATCTATCACTGAAAGTTATGTTAATTCATCGAGATTTTGTACCTACTCAACTTTCGATTTGTAGGTACAAAGTGATCAATAGGTTTGAAATTGTCAGAATTATTTGAGAATACCTAAAGCAATTTTAACCTTTTTTCCACAAAGATCATTTAAGGGTTCCGTGAAAGTTTAAAATTGCAAGGGAGAGAGACTGGCAGCGTCTGGTACCCTAAAGATAATTAATTTAAAATAGATTCCAAATGAAAAAAATATTCATGTTTGATGTTCCATGATATTAAAAAGGTTAAGGAAACACTGACCTAAAGGGCTAAAGGACAATGAAATTAAGACTTATGCTAAGATAGTACTTATAACTATTTTTGTTTCGTGATACACAACAATAACCGTAAATCCAGATTTCGATCCACGGGTAGGTAGTTAAAAATATAACTATAATATTGTAAACAACTTACCGCTTTTAATAGTAGCACGTTATGAGTCAATGTTATGTCAACAGAATGACAATCGAAGTTAATTAAAACGTTAAACTATCAAGAGAACGCTTAAACAGCCATCACTAATCACTATGGCTAGTAAACATTACTAACAGGTAACGCTCACAGTTGCTTGAATGTTTTTAATTGTTTGATTACGTTTTCGTTTCTGTGATGCCGACGATTAATCACAACTCTCAAGTGACGAGTGCTTGACAAACATGTACAACTAATCCATGAAAAAATAGAACTGCTCAGCACAAAGCATCACGCCATCACAGAACTTACTCACAAGAACGGAGTTTAATATTGTTAGTGCTTATCACGACTTTTCGACAAAAATGAAAAATGAATACTTTAACCTGAGTATCACACACATGTCCCAGCGTCACTTTTGTCTACAAAAGACGATCGATTTTYCTGACGTGGCCCTTTTAGTATGAATAAATTCCACCGGAAGCGCCACATATCCGTCACCCGAAGCCTTACTATTTGGTTTTTAGTTTTTACTACCGTACGGAGTGCCAACACGTCGATAAGAGGTGGTGGGGAGTGGTGGCCCGGACGGTGGCCACCCGCAATATTTACAAGCCACCCCGTTATATTGACATATTTGTTGAAGCAGTCGTTACCGTAAAGTATAACAGTAAAATATATTGGCCCCTGAGAGTTCTAGGATGTTGTTATTTTAGCCATAAAACGTTTGGTCCCTGGGATTTTAGATCAGTCAAATTGAAATCAATGTTTTTTTTTTTCTTAAATTTAAAATCTATTATTATAAAATGTAAATTTGTATAATTGTTAAATTAAAAACTATTTTAATTCATTTTCCACCATCAAAATTTAAAAATAAATACATACATAATATGTATAAAACTAATAACACATTAACAATTCAAATATGTAGACTAAGTGGCGTATATTGTATATAAGGGGGCTGGGTGGGCTGCAGYTCTTCCCGAAATTACAGTCGTAATTGTTAAATGATTAGTAYATAATATATATTGTAAAATGCTACTTAAATCAATATGAGTGTATGGTATACAGCTCTCRGGATCAGCAAACCTACTAATATCAATAAGGTATAAACCTTTCAATCCAAAGCTCTACGTTTCCAATTACACACTCCATCACGACCTCTCCATGCCCTTTGTTGCAGACGTGGCTAAAACACAATTCATAAGATTCCATAACCGCTTCTTAAACCACAGAACCCCTCTCATGCGTGATATATCTTCCTTGACTATCCCTGGAAATCCTCCCAAACAGCTAAARCGCAAGTGGTGTAGAAACATACTGACAAAACTAATTCAATCTTAATATTCTTGTTTTTTTTTTTTATTGTTGTACCTCCACTGGGAGGCTACTACGTTCTATTTTCTCTATCTATTTGTTTACTTTTTTTTTATTACTATCGATTACTTCCTCAGTTGTTCTTATTATTCTTTTTTGCTACAGATTGAATAAAACATAGTAAAACAAAAATAAAATATGTAGGTAGTAGGTAGTTTCTAAATGCTAGATCAGGGCCCGAGTCTTCAACCGTGGCCCGCGATCGCATTTTAAATTTAGCATGTTATTGCGAATATTGGAAATATGAAATATAAAAAATTTGTGATTAAAAAATTTTTTTATCTATATATGTTTTAATAATAATAATAATTTGTAATTTTAAATGTACCTACCTAATTTTAAAAATTTTAATAATAAAACTGAATTTTTATATAAAATACATGTTTTTAGGAATGCAGCCCGCAAGATTTAAAAAAATAATATAAGGCCGCTGCATAAAAAGGTTGAAGACTCCTGTGATAGATAATTTATTAGTTACTATATATTATAGTCCACCTAGAAAATTTCTTCAATATATGCCACTGTATGTAGTTACCTTCATTTAACATTTATACAACTAGGTATTTTTTATGTTTTGATATTATAATCAGGTCATTATTTATTTAAAATTTCAAAT